CTGAGTGGCAGACAGGAAGAAAATCCGCTGAGAGTATGCGCGAAGAAGCGACATCTGCCCTTCGAGGTTCACGAAGTGCTGTGCCTGCCACGAAACCTGCACTCACTGCACTCCAAGATCCACTGAGCGCTGCGCCTGCCACGACATCTGCGCCGACTCCTGGCCGCCCGAATCAGCGACCAGTCGGTGACCGATTCGGGTTTGTTTGGTTTGGTTTTTGCCTGCGGGTTTCTTGCTTGCGCCTGCATCCGAATCAGCAACCCGTTGGTGACCGATTCGGATGATTTACAGTGTTGTGTGTTTTGGGGCGGGCCTTTGGAAAATTTAGTCCGTTTTCCAAAAGTGGTGCTTTCACAGGTTTTGCGAGGTCCGCGTTTTACCATACGTAGCTCCTAAGCGAGACCCTCTACCGAACGGCGCCGAACCCATCTAAATCAGGCCCGAAACATTGTTGCAGAATCAGAGACTTGTTGTGAGCCACTCAGCCACTCAGCCACTCAGACTTTCTTCCTGTCAGCCAATCAGCCACTCAGCCACTTAGACTTTCTTTCTGTCAGCCACTCAGCCACCCAGACTTTCTTCCTGTCAGCCACTCAGCCACTTAGACTTTGTTTTTTTTCTGTCGGCCACTCAGCCGCTCAGACTTTCTTTCTGTCAGCCAGCCACTCAGCCACAGTGGCTGAGTGGCTGAATGGCCGGTCAGAATCTTGAGTGGCTGAGTGGCTGAGTGGCCGCCGTGAACCGCGACCAGGATTGCACATCCTCTCATCCATGGCAGGCATTGATCTTGGCGCTCGCGTTGTCCGTACCAATGTGTCAAAGATAAGAAAGGGTTTCGACCCAATAGAAGATGTTGACAGCCCACTCGACCTTTCCGACGGTCAAGATGCTTCAGGCATTCTGATGACTGCAGACGCTGAGCAGGCTTCACCTTCTGGCCATTCTTTTCTCGAGTGCCACTGGCAACCAATTAATAAGGGTAAGATCGATTTCCTAGAGCTATTTAGTGGTTCAGCTAGACTTAGCCACACAGCCGCTCTAGCGGGACTCCGAGTAGGACCGCCAATTGATCTGCGCGCTGGATCCTAACTTCCGAAGGAAGAAAAAGAGCCATGAGTGTGATAAGCGCTCAGCGTCCTGAAGTCCTTTCTATGGCGCCACATTGCGCGCCATGGTCACGGATGAGCAATATCAACGACAGGGCAACTCGCGAAGAGAAGCGCAAACGCTACTATCCGATGTTAGAATTTTGCCAAGTTGCTATCTGTCAAATTGCCCATGGCAGGAAGTTCATCGTTGAGAATCCTGCTGGATCCATGTTATGGTGGACTCAGTGCCTCAACAACTTGTTATCTAAACAAGCTGTGAAATGGTCCACTCTGCACATGTGTGCTTTCGGAATGCACGATCCTAGTGGCCACCACCACTACTACTACTACTACTACTACTCAACTAGTCTGACGCATATTTTTGCTGAAGGTGTGCTGGATCCCGTTTTTAAGGTTTGTCCACTGAAGAAGGCAAGAGCCTCGAGGGTGAACCGTACTAACGGTAACCACAAACACCAGATGCTTGAAGGAAATGCGCCTGGCTACGGATCTCGCATTTCGTCGCGCTATAATTCGTTGCATTCTTCCATTATGAAACTGCAATTGCTTGCCAACTGCTGAATCGTCTTTACTTGAAGACATAACAGACAATATTGTATTACACGATGAACTGAAGTAAGTCACTTGTCTTGCTTTGTCAAGCTAAGTTTGAGATCACGCTTTTCTCAGATGAGAAAGCTTTTTCAGTGCATGTTGCGCACAAAACCGCACTACCGGTTACGCATTCGTTTGCTGACCCCGCAATAGCCGTAACCAATCATGAGGTAAGAGAAGCCATGAATCATCTTACTCGTGCGCCGGACGGTACTGAAACGTTGCCGGGCAGCTATAACGTTACATTCGATCAGTATCTTGGAGTCCTTCCTCAGTTCTTTGTTCCGACGCTTAGGTTTCAGTATGCTTCCGTGATGAAAGGTACATTTGGTCACCTTCGAACCATGTACAGAACAAGCCTGGTGTAGTTCTCGTGTGGAACAAGAAGAGCTTCTCCAAGATCTATGTAATGGATCATCAACGTGTAGCTTTGGACAAGCTCAATCCACAACACTGGATGACAGTATTTGGTAGCTTTTCCAAAGGCCGGGGTCCGAATTTGCATTCAGACGGAAGAGCACTGGCCGATAGATCGGCAGGTGTACGGCTCCAATCTCTGGCGCTTGGTTTTCGTGCATCTCGGCCATAGTTGGACGGCCTAAAAACAGCTTCTTTTGCTTTGAGCCTATCCAGACCATTCTTAATTAGATAGTCAAGGACTGTGCTGCCGGAAGAGATGCCTCGCTCGACGTCGTCGATTAGCTCGGCCATCTTCTTCCTCCGCCGGTCGGTGGCATCTTCCACTTCCGTAGAGGAAGTTGCGTTTAAAAACTTCTTCCTGGACCTCCTGTTCGTTGATTTCGGTTCGCGTTAGAACGCTTACCTTCAAGGACGGCTCCAGCAAGTCTGCGGAATCCGGAACACTGAAGAAACCTTAGTCCGCAGTCGCATCCCTTATACTTGCCGGCTTCTCGACAATTCAGGCAACAAAACAAGCTACCCGCGCGACCGAAAAACGCAGTGACCGCCGGCGGTTCATTGCCGTAATGCCGTCGCACTGTCCGGGAGTGCTGTCTGAAGAGGTCTTCAAAATTTTTGTGTCTAGCACTCCGGTGTCAATCTGACCCTTGCTACTCAACTTGATCCTTTCTAGGGTCTTCTTTGACTTGCCTTTGGCCTTTCGGACAGACTACTTCATGCCGGAGTTCCTCATCCTGAGGAGCTGTTTTCTCAGTACTCGGAGGCTCGAAAGGTCCTGGCTCATCCCGGTAATCGGGATCGGGATTGAATCCGCCGTGGTACCAATCATAGTATGTACTCATGGCGTCTTCGAGTTCTTGTGGCATTACAATCCCACGCAGGTCCTTGAGGGGCCGATCACGCCGGACATCGTAGACTAGAAACATGAGGTCTGAAGACAGGACATGTTTCGTCAAGATATAGCCGTTGGTTGACATGAAAAAGTCCATCCCTCGAATGTCGGCGGCGTGCTGTAAATCAGCCACATTGAAGAAAATCAGAACATCAGAGTTCCTCCGGGCCAAGTGCGGCTTTGTCTGCAAGCTAGAGCTTGGGGTGAGATGTGTATGGGCACGACGGCCCTCCTGGCCTCCCGGGATAATGCCTTGTTCCTTAATACCAGACCATGCTCGGAAAAACGTCGCATGTACGCAAAAGGAATCATCGGCAAATTCGGTCCAGTCGATCTTGGACAGGATCTCCTTTTCACAACCGCTAAAACGGTCGCCATGTCCTTGGTTCGCCCTCATAAAGAAATTGGAACACGGGCTGTTGGAGCACCAAGATCCGGATATTTGCCATGTCTGCATTCACCACCCAGAGCGCGCCAATCTTCTGGTAGTGGCGCCGGACTCTGCACGCGCCGGCCTTGCGGAACGAATGCAAAGGACCAAAGGGACTTGTCGTCAAAGATAGGTTTTGGCAGCGTGCCACATACCCTCATTTCTCCTGACAGCCGGTAGTGCGGACTCATGAACGGTGCCGAAGACGTCCTGCTTGTGGTAACTGATACCATTGACTCGTGTCTTGACGATCGGAATTGATAGCAGGGATCGAATGTCGAGGGCAGGGTCGTGTCTCATGTAGTATGATAACGTTTTGTTGAGTTGGACAAGATCAGGGTCCTTGCAGTCATTTTTGCACTTGGCAGGAGGCGCCAACTAGTTCGTGGCAAAGAGCCACCTCACGTTGTACAAAATCTGCGCTGACTCCGGGTCATCTCTAAACTTAATTGGCCCTTCCGCTATAGCGGAATTCTGGGACTGAGATTCCCTGCAAATTCGCTCTAGGCTCTTCCCTTGTCTTCTGTTGCTCGGAAGGTCCCAGCACCTTTGGCGCCTGTAGTCATCGCATAGGCTTTGGTTTTGGTGGCGGTGCTGGGCGATTGGGCACAGCTGGTCGTACTGACTCAGCTGGAGTCGGATCTGGATTCCGTGGCATTGCCTTGTGTGGTGTTGGAAGTGGTAAATCACCTGATGGTGTTTTCGGCGAAGCTGGTTCCTTGGGTTGACTTGGTTCACTTGGCACTGCCGGCGGTTTCTTGATCTGAGCTGGTGGACGAAAATCTGATCCAAGCTTGCCCGCAATACTCGGTGGTGGTGTTTTGGGTCTTCGACCGATAGGCGGTTCTGGATCCTTTGGCCTCGTGACTGGAGTTGTTGGTTTGTTGATCAAGGATGGTGGAGGCGCCTTCCTTGGAAGGCCCTTTGTCGTGTCCACGTCGGCAGGCTCTTCCTTCAGTTCTGTTGGACTGCTGGTGCAGCAGGTTCTGATGGCGCATTTGGTGTTGCCGCTGGTGGTGCAAATGGTATTGCGGCTGTTCTTGCTGCCTTAGCGGCTGCTTGATCCTGCCATGCCTTCTCCGCTGCCTCCGTGAGTCGGAGCTCCTTCGTTCGAGGTTCTTGGCTTGTTGTTCATCTTCTGGTTCAGGAGGAGGACGATCTACACCTGTGCCAATGAGGAACAACGTAGTCCTGAGCTTCAGCAGCTCTTCTTTCCAGCCAGCTTCTGCCAGCATGGACAACGGCCTGGCGATCCCGTTGTCGCTCTCGGCGTTTCTTCAGGCTCATTGTCATGTCATCTTCAGCGAGAATACGCAGTGTACGAAGCTCTGCCTCCTCTATAGAGTCAATATAGAGGGAGATGTCGGTGAACCTGGTGCTCGTGTCCGCAAAAACTCGGAAACTGCTGGAGGAGCACTTTCTCTTTTGTCTGCCGCTAGAGCGGCTTCTCCTTCTTCTTCCTGTTCAGCCAATTCTGCAAAATCTGCTGGCTGAGGAGAATCTGCAGGTTCCATTTCCACATCATCATCATCATCATCCTCATCATCATCATCCGGTAGAGGGGATGGGCTTGCTGCAGATCGGCGGCGGCCAGTAGTGACCATTCCGCCTTCGATTACCTCTTCACTCGGAGTGTCCGAAAGATCACCGCTGCGTAGTGCAGCATTTGCCTTTGCCTGTTCGACCACGTGCTCTGGCTCGACAGGTTCTGTCTCCAGGATCGTTGCCGGAATGGCAATATACTATGGTTCATCAGGAAGTAGCTCCGGAGACGAATCATCGGATTGCCCGGTGGTCATGGAGTACACGGGCACACCTTCCGGAATAGCAGGCAGTGCCGGCACAGCTGCCGCGGTTTCCGGTGTGGTGAGCGGGCGTAGGTGTCTCCGGACCTGTCTCTTTCTCCTTCTCTGTCTGCTGGGCCTTGAATGAATCAAAACCTAAGGACGAGGCATTTCAGCAAGAAGGAGATGTGCAGCGAATTGGAAGCAGTTAGCGCGAGGGCTGAGAGCTGAGTGAGTCAGAATGGCTGCTGTACGCAGACACAAATTTTCTTGAGACAAGAAAATTGTCAAAACAAACATACAAGCAACATCCGCCGTACCGCTAGCGCGGTAGCGTCTCGGATCTTACCGACCATAGAACGCTGTAGAAACCCTCTTCGGCTATATCTTCAGCGAAAAAGTATATACGATGAGGTTCCTCACTCCTCACAGTTGTTGATAACCCATTCAGCCACAATAGCCTTATGTTTGACAAGTGTACGAAACGGTGGTACGAAACGGTGGATGCATGTCCACAGAGCCAAGTGTTCCTGTCTCGATCGACTTTATCAGTTGATCGGGCTTGGCGCTATGTTTTGTCAGTGGATCAGCCAAACAGTATTCGCTTGTCACATGGCTTAAACCGTGAAGTTGGCCAGTATTGCTCTCATGTCGCATCATCTGTATTAGATGGTGTGTCTCCTTTTGCTCGGGCAAATGTGTAGTTTGGGCCGTGGTGACGAGGTTGTTAGCATTCGTCCCAATGTGGATAAATAACACGTCACCGCTACAATCTGCCCAGAGTCGTCGAAGGAACATGCGTGTGCCAAAACACTTCATAAGAGCGTGCAGCTCTGCCACAGTTGTTGATTGTGTTGTTGTGGTGATGTTGTGGCTTTCGTAGTCAACGATTGAACCTCTAGTGAGGCCCTTAGGCTTGTAATCGCTCTTCTGCGTGTTCGGAGAAACACGATCTTCTGCAATAAAGATAACGCGTGCTCGCTGACTGCTCTTGTCAGCATTGTTTCTGTACGATGCGTATGGGAAACCCAGGGTCCGTAGTGGTCCCTTCAGTGGCCAGAATCTTGCGTCAACATACTGGCTTTTCAGTGTGCGAACTATCTTGTTGATTTCTCGACGGTCACCGATAGTCGGTTTAGCGGCGCACGATGCACAGCGAGAAAACCTGTAACAAAGGTGTGCTTGAGTTCTACTCTGTAGCCAGTTTAGTTGGCCAAGAACGCTGCTGTATGCTGTGTGCATCTTGGGATCACATGCGAGGTTGTCCTTAAGACGCTTCTCGATCTTTATTTCTTCAACGGCATCTACCGCTAGCTTCTGGTCTACACTGGTATACGGTCCATGTTTATCATGGGTCTTCCATTTGATGCGTTGTCCTACGAACATAATATCATCTTTGCCCTCAGGTCCGACTGAGAAGTCTTTCCTTATACTTGCAAATATCTTGGATTCAAAGTGCTTGTCTCCTGCCATATATAAGTCATCTACGTGTAAACAAACGAAACCATGGACTTCTCGTCCATTTAACAATGGGACCCACAAGATATTCAAGTGCAGTGCAGCATCAGGGGTTGTCAGTCCACCTGACATTCTATTTCTGTTTTTTCTTGATACTGCTAGTGCGGGCCTTTGTCTGTTGTGATCCGTAGAAAATATAAGTACAGCGGTCTGCACGAGTCGGAACTAGGCCGTAACTGGTGAGAGACTTATCAACTACGTTCCACCATTTACGGGGTGCATCTGCATCATTGAGACCATACCCTGGCTTCTTAAGTCGAGTGGCCACATATGGAGGATATCCTAGTTCTGACGGAATCTGGCAAATGACATCACGAGATTCATCATATGCCTCTCCTTGCAGGAATGCTGTCTTCAAGTCCATGTGAAACAGTGACCAACGACGATTGACAGCTACCTGGGTTACACAACGAAAACCAGATCTAGATGCTGCAGGCGAATCTGTCTACGAACCCATCGGGCCTTACACTTCAAGAACTTACCGTCCTTGTCGCGCTTCAAAGTTACGAACTTGTAGTTTTCTGGTGTCAACAAGATCATAGACATCATTGTCGATCCACGATTGCGTCTCCGCCATCTTGGCCCCCAGGAATTGTTTGGCAAGTTCACGTTTCTCTTGTCGCGTTGCTTCCTTGCGCTTCTTTCCTACCAAGTAGGCGAACTTATCATCAGTGGATTGAAACAAAGTCAAGTATGCCTTGTCTTCCTTAAACTTATTAAGTCCGGAATATACTCCTTCAATGTCTGACTTATCCTTAGTGCGCGACCGGTGCGAAAACCGGTAGTTCGGTTTAGCGTGTATGTCAATGTAGCGGCCATCACCTACACAAACAAACGTTGATTCAACGGTGCGAACATTGACTGGAACTGAATCTATAATACCTAAGCGCTGAGAAAAATGCTGTGTTTGAACAAAGCTTGTGCTCAGCAGTCAGGTATGACCACTGTGCCTCGTCAATGTACAAAGCATCGGACTCCGGTGACATATTCTTCTTCTCCTACAGGTTTGTGGACAAGTGTCAGGTCACCAGGTATTGTCTCAGCATCACTGTCTGCTTCTTCGGTAGGTATCGGCAAGACCATTTTACCAGTAGGCGGTTGTAATGCTGGTTGCGACGATGATGAAGTCGAAGAAACCTGCAACTCGCGCGAAACATCGCCCCCCAGATGGTTGCTAGGAGGCTGACTAGATGACGACGCGGGCATAAACGGTAGCGTAGGATTGATGACCTTGGGTTTGGTTTGGGGCGGAGATGGTGTATGGATGTTGGATTCAGGTGGATGGGACTTGTGTCGCTTCTGTGGTACTGTTGGTCAACTGGGTGTGACAGGTGTATCGGGCGACGCAAAAGGTGTTGTCGGTGGATGGGGTGGTGGAGCGCTTGGCATCTCATGGTCTGACGCCGGTGGTGTTGAAATATCAAATGTCTGTGGACCAGTGTGTGGAACAATTGGCGCTGGTCCAGGTGGCATTGGAGGTGAAGGTGGTTGAATAGGCTCCAATGCTGGCAGATCGGCATCATCCTCATCCGGTGCATCATTCATCTGATCATCCATATCAGCATCTTCATTCGGATCAGGCTGTCATTTGAGATTATGCGAAATAATCTGATGAATAAGAACGCATTCCAATCCAACAAGGCCTGGCATACAGCTTCTGCGAATATGCGTTCAACAGCAGGACTAAACATCGGAGTTTTCAACTTCGGTGATTTAGGCAGATCAGGTGGAATGGGCCGTTACAAACTGCCGAAGGCCGAAGAACACTCCTGAATCGACCGAACTATGGTCTTCCCGGGTCCGCAACCCGTGTCACGTCATGATCATCCAGGAGGTGGCAGGTTTAAGCCTATAGGCGAGTATATCCAAGAAGCCATTGAGGGCAAAACCAAAGGAATTGTCGTCCATTCCACCAAGGGTGCTCCCGTTCTAGCGGTACTCTGCCGAGGTGATGAAACCACCTATCTCGAGGTCATTGAGCACTACCAGTCCGTTCACAAGAAGAAGAATGCTCCAGCTCAGGAGAAGCCACGGTGGCTCATTCATGCAGTTTTCGTTCGAATCCATTACGGAAAGCTCGACCCTCAAACCGTGGCCGACCATAGCTATTATCCGACTACCGGAGAACGAATGACGACCGAAGAGATAGATGCAACGCTTGAAACAGTGCTTGACGCTGAAGTCAACCTTCCTGACATGGATAGTTCCAATCGTGGTTTCAATCCGTCAGAGATGCCCCTCTCATCCACGGTCATGCACTCCATGCATATCGAACCTGCGTGGGATCAAGAGTCCGACCCGATCGTCGGGATCGATGAGACCGTATTCGAAAAGACGGACTCTACCAGTAGGCCTCCACCGGAGTATCACTTGCCTCTGAGACGCGATCTAACGCGTCTAGAGAGCAACGAACTCCGGGTTTGTAATTTCCATATCAACAGCAAGATGTTGCGCAAAGGATATGGAGGCCACGACCTAGTACGGTCGGATTTCACCTCAGTTGTGTACGCCGCTCTAGCGTCAGAGGTGGACATCCTTGCTGGCGACGGCAATTAGCTGCCCAGCGAAATTTCACAGGCCAGACCGACACCGACTTCACGACGAGCCAGTGCGCCGAAGTCGCCCAAGCCGTTCTATAACGGCAGTGAATAATTTGAGAGAGTTAGAATATCGAATCAGTTACGATCGGGTCTCCGACATCCGTGCAGAAGAATGGTATCGGTCCGGTAAGGGCGATCCAGCTCACGATGGTGACTGTCTCCGGTATCCGAACAAACATCCAGACCTGTTGACATACCGCGAATCCGATGAAGGCGAGGCAGAAGTCGAAGAAGTCCGCGGTAAGCAGGGCAGCTGGCGATCTCAAGAGACAGTCTTGAAGGAGACAGAAAGGTTTATTAAGTATTTCATCAACGCAGACCTTTTGCTGTCGAACTCCGACGAAGCCTGGCGCGAAC